TTAGTTATTCCTTCTCCATGTATTGCGTAATTTTCTGCGTGTTTTTTTCTAAAAAATTCTTTTCACAAAAAAAGACACTAAAATGTCTTGCGTGAAGGAAGGTGGCCAAGTCCCCGATGAGGACGATCTTACATTGACATGTAGCAATTATAAGTCAAAAAGTAGATAAATGAAATTATTTGATTTAATTATTTTTTTGTAGTAATTATTTATACTTATAATTTAATCATTATTATTTTATCTCATTGAATGAAGAATATTGATTTTGGAATTATTATTTTCGAGATATAAAATAATTGAGTGACAAAAGATGACCTTCTCTATAGCTCTATTTCCAATGTCTTTTAATTATTAGCTATATGAGTTGTGACTTGTGATATATTAGTTAGATTGTTCCATCTTTAATTAGATGTCTTAATTTTGAGTTCTGTGTACAAAGAAAATCATGTTGAAAGCGTCATCCCATCCATATTAATCGAGAGACATCGGACAACGAATGAGAAATAAAAAACAACCAATCTATCCTAATAGTTGAAAAAATAGAAAGAATAATATTTCATCATTTGCAACTATTGTTATCAATGATGTTATTGCTTTAAAACAAACAATTAAAGCCTTTAAATGGTGCAATTTTTGATATCGACTATACATACAAGGTATATTTATAATGGATGAGAAAAATATCTTGTGGTAGGGAAAGGGGAATTGCAAGTACAATAATCATCTTGTTTTTTTTTTTTTTTTGGATTGGATATAATTTGGGGAGATGCATGAGGTTAGGTAAAGATGATATTTTTTATATAAATACATGTACATATTACTTAATTAAAAATTAATTTATGTAATTATACTTTTGTAAGTATTAACTAATTTATAATAATGATATGTTTGTCATGATGAATCCACGTTCGGCTAATTTGACTATGGTGAGGGGAATTTAATTAGTCAAACTACGTGCCTATAGGGCCCAACTAATTCAGTTACATTTTGTTTATTTCTACGGCCCTATGTGCATTATTATTTCACAATTGAATATTCTTTTTTTTTTCTTTCACTCTGTATTTGATAAGATGATATTGCTCGAATAGTAAACACTTTTTCTATCAAACTCTGGCGCTATAAAATTGAATCACCAAGAAATAAAAAGAATATGGTATCTATTTTAAGGTCTAATTTTATAATTTACATTTAAAAAATTTGAGAAAATCCTCCATATCCCGTTATTTTTTTTAGAACTACCATAAAGTTGATAATTTAAACAAAATGAGAGAGAAAAGTAGAATCATTTCTTTACTATAGAGAAGAAATATAACATACTTTGCTTTATGTCTATTTGTCGTTTTTACTATAAATTTATGATCTCAAAAAATTGTTATTTTAGAAAATTATAGATTGAGATCAAATAATAATTAGTAATAAGTAAGGATAATTTGACTTTAATATTCCCTCCATTACCATATAAATGAATTTCTAGCAAAAAAAATTATGGTCCAAATTACAATGTATGTTTTTTTTTAAATCCAAAATGTATCAATTATTTTTTCTAAAATTACTCTTTTGTGAATTTCTCATTGATTGTTTCTAGTTTTAAGAAATTTTTTTTAAAAGAAGTAAAAGGCTGCTAATTAATTGACAAACTATTTTTTAATTAAATTTATTAAGAATTATTATATCTTGTGAATTATTTTGTTTTAAAATGAAGATTTTCTTTAAAGCGATAAAAAAAAAGATAAATATAACAAATAAAATAGACGTTAGGAAATTCTCTAGTATTTCCTCCGTTTCTATTTACTTGTCACCATTTTAGATTTCACATCCTTAATAAATTAGGTCAGTTTACCATCTGTACCTTTTTTTCGTGTTCTCTTGAAATTGAGATTTCAATAAATGAATATGAATTAATTTACTCCTCTCAATACACTTTTACTTTTCATTGTTTGACTTGACAAACCATTAGAAAACAATTATTGATATATGTATTTTACCAAACTATCCCTATTTAATGATGTTTACTTTGGGTCTTGGAAAATGATTTGGAGATAAATATTTAATGTTGAGGGTAAAACATGCAAAACAATAATATGTCAAAAGTGACAAGTAAAAATGAAAATCTACTTTATAAATAAGTATTGTTGGACAGAGGGAGTACGTAAAAGCGAACGAAGAGAGTATTTTGATTAATTATTTTAACCAATAAACATATATAAATAAATTACTTGATTTTTCTATGTTGATCAAATTCATACTTTCAAAGCTAATAACTCTTAAGGATAAAATAGAAAAAAATAATGCATTGATTTTATGATATAGTAACTAATACATTTATTTTAAGGATGATATATAAATATGAACGGAGCGAATATCAGAATCAAGAGAAATAGGGTAGAGTGTTAAGGCGCCAAATGGAGGGGTTAAGATATGTGGGAATTATGAGCTGTGCCTGTTTATGTTTGTTTGGGAAATTAAGAGGCATTAAAGTATCATATGAAGAATACTATAAAATGTTTTTTTACAACTTACAAGAAAAGAAGAAATTCCGTTATAATGACAGTTCTTGGATAGCATTTAAGACTAGTATTTATGTTATGTGCAGACACAAACAACCAAGCTAACATCGTCTCTCCTAACTATACTGTATACGTCGATATAGTCAAATCTCGTTATAATAATAATTTTTATTTTGTCTAAATATATATTTTTTTCCTAATAAAACGAAGAGTTTAGGTTGATGTGATTAAATTGATGGACTTTTAAAACACTGAATTGCAAAATACGCAATTTAATTAGTGTCCTAATTAATGTCTATTTAAATCAATTCCCCCTTTTCTTATTTGTTGGAAGATTCGTCCAACCAAAAAAAGAAAAAGAGAGAAGAACAACTTGAGTTATTATAAATACAATTACATTGTTGTTGCATTTACAAGTTTACACTCATAATACTCCCTCTGTCTCTAATTACTTGTCCACTTTTTCATTTATCGTTGTTCCTAATTACTTGTCAATTTTGACAAATCAAGAAAGGACAATTTTTTTTACCTATTATACCCTCAATTAAATGACTAATTACTTTGAAAAATACAGAACTTTTCATCCACTTCATAATTAATAGGGGTAAAATGGTAAACTCACTATGTCATTAATTGATTTCTTAATAGGTGTGTCAATTTAAAAGTGGACAAGTAATTAGGGACAAAGGTAGTAGAATTAAAGTATTTATTTTTTTGAAGAAAAAAAATCAAAATTATTTTCTGAAAATATTTTAAAGAAATTACTACTTACTAGTTGGTAAAAATAAATAAATAAATTAGTAGTTAATATATATCTCGGAATTAATTATCACTATTAATATGTTTTATGTTTAAATTAGTTTTTTTAATGGTTGGAATTTTATATACCAAGAAATTGATAGTTCTCTTGTATTGGTACTCAACAAACTATGATGAAAATTAAATAATTAATCTCACATGGCCACTAAATCATGTATTTCTTATAAAAATAGGTTGCCGTCTTAAGCATCAAATATTATATTATTTAATGTCTATCAGAATCATTCTGTCAAGGCAAATTTAATTAATTTATTATTATTGGGCAAGGATGGATCCATCAAATACACCCAACCGCATCATAAACATGAATATAATAATATGATTTTATTTTATGAATACATGTCTCGTGGTCAAACTAAAAAAAATATTAATCATAATTAAAATACACATCTTCATGAGTTTTTAGTTGGCTAATATTTCATCATATAATTAAGAGAAAAATTGTAGTGAAAGAATTGTTTTCTTAAATCACGTAAATAATATAGAAAATTCACAATTTTCCCTTTTTTTTTGGAAAATATCATTATCGGGATTTATAAATTTTAAATAACTTAATTTAGGTGTTACTTGTTTATTTATTTGTTTTGGTTGGTTGGTAAAATCTTTTGAGTACGTGCTACTTGATTCCTAAACCATATATACATGATACAGCTCCATTACCAAGGAAAAACTGATTATTAACCCCCCAATTATAGTACTAATTTCACTTTTATATTTTACAAATTAATATTAAAAGATAATATCAAAAGCAGTATTGGATACTTAACTAAAGATACTACATTTAAACTGAAATTTGATTAGTCAAAAGATGTAAAAGTTATACAACAACATTTATACACTTACCTTGTGAAGATAGAGTGTATGTTTTCAATAAACACTCGACTCAATTAAGCATTATCAAAATCAAGTATAAAAATGAAATATAGTACAATAAATTGAAAAAAAAACACTAAAAACAACAAATAATAAAAAAATTCAAGCAAAAGAAATAATGAAAAGATTTATCATATAATTATGGAATTTGGAATGACAATAATAATATTTCCTTAATCTCAATTTATATGACATAATTTAGATTTACAGAGTCAAATAAGAATTTTTTTGACTACCATTATTCATATATCTTTTACATACGTAAATTATTTTTTAAAAATAAAAATCATATGTCTAAATTAAAAAATTTGACTCTCGAATTTCAAAGACAAAAATAGTATTTTCTTAATTTCATATGTAACGTAGTTTAGATTTGTAAAATCAAATAAGAATATCTTTGACTAAAATTTATTCATATACCTAAATTATTTTAGAAAAAATAACTCTCGAAACTTTAAAGTATATCATATAAATTAAAATGAGGAATAATGAGAGTAGAGAGACAAGAAGGGGAGTTAGCTTTTTGGAGAGAGTTTTTTTTTTTTTTCCAGAGATGGAGTCTCATGCTAAAAAGTAGCAACTGTACTACTTTTTCTTCTCCTCCTTTTCAATTCATTCATTAATTATTGTCCTTGTATTATTTTTATCCCTTTCGTTTCGTTACTCTCCACTTTCTTCTTCTTCTTGAAAACCAAACGTCAACTGCAGCTCTTTCTCTCTGTCAATACACATTCCATTTTTAACCATTTTTTTTAGTAATAATTTCCTCTGTTTCTTCAAAATGAAACTTTTTCTATGGTTATTGAAAGTTGACATGATGGTTTGTTCTTTTTCTCTCTCTCTCTCTCATTGTTTTCATGTTTCTTGGATCGTTGATCACGAGGAAAGATAAAAACTTGATTTTGACTTGTACCCTTCTCTCCTCTGCTACTTTTCTTGAATTTTTTTTTTGCAAAGTTGGGATTTTTATGTTGAAATTTGTCTAACAATGTCTAATTTTGCTGTGGGTTGAATCTTGAATGGTTTATAAGTTTGTTCTATGGCAATCACTTTGTGTTATCTCATAATCCTTTTTTTTTTTTCTTCTTTCTGTCTTCTTATAAGGTTTTTTTGTTGAGTTATGAGTGCCTAATGTTTACTAGATCAGTCCAGCAATTAACAAAATAATTACTCTTTGCTGAACTAGATCAGGAGAGCATATGTAAAATCATATATTCCACTTTCAAGCAAAACCATTTATTAGTACTACAATTTGTTGATTTTTTGGCTAACTTTACATATAGATTTTGAGGTCATCTGTCATCACAGAGAATTTTCTCTATTTTTAAAACTAAATTAGTGACTTTGTGGAAAAAGTCTGATTGGGGCTTTCAAGAATAGTAGTAGCTATGATATATATGAATTGAAGTTGTTTTCTGTCTTCAAATGTTATTAGACTATAACAAGAAAGGTTCAGTTTTTATGAATATGATATCTGTTGGTTATACTTTAGCAAAAATGCTATATGAAAACTTCTTTTTCGTTGAGACAACGTTGTCTGCTGGGAAAAATCGTCAATTGATATTATTGTGTCTGCAGGGTGTGGACTAGACCTGGAGTTACTATCTCTTTAGGATTATTATACCAGTTGGGATTTTGTGCTGCATGGGAAGCTTGTTGGATCTCATTGATTTTGACCAAGGAGGGATGGCAAGGAAGTTTCTTTCACAAAAGAGACATGGTGGTAAGTGCTTTCGTTCTCTAGTTGCATCACGAGCATGATATTGTCGAAGCTAGTGATGTTGGCAAGATGTTAGTTACTCAAATTAACAGCCTTTTAACAAATGTTTGATGAATTTTGCCTATGATTTGTCATGAGTAATGCACCCTTTGAAGGGTCAGGGAGAATCCTGAATTAGTTTAGTTCATTTAGCTCAAAATCATTCTTAGCTTAGTCAACAGAATTATCATTCAAGTCCTGTTACGCAATGGTTTCTGCTTCTACTCTAGCAACTATGACAGTACGAAGAATTTGTTAAATTACCTGCTATATATAAGCACAACATTACCATTTAATTGGGACAGAGGGGATATAGATATATCTTCTTCTTTTTTTCCCCCAAAACCAACAGAAAATATGATGATTCATTCATCTATTGTGCAGGTGTCGATACTCCTAGAAATAGCTTGGAGCTTCCTGTTGAAGCGTCTCAATGGTTCTATGCTGGAGGGGACAAAGCACAGGTAAAAGTTTTTATTATGTCATGTTCAAATTCTCTTATCTGATGTCGGAATACTATTAGCACATCGAGCACTAAAAGATTGGATTAGGACATATTTGCATTTGATAAAATAGCTATATCCTGGACTGGAGTGTAGGATTTCTCCTGCCTCATGTAATCGTTGTAACTATGGTCTTATAGAGTGTGGCAAATTTTGCAAGTTCAGGGTGACAAAGAACTCCACAGCTGCTACTTGAAGTTTGCTTCGACGTGCAGCAGTTGTACCACTATCTATACCTGTCTAGACTTAGAAAACACCGCCATTTCTTAACTTAAATAATATTGTGCATTATGTATTTTCTTGTAATCTCTACTTAATTGGTTTTCCAACTTCTGGCATCTCAAAATCTTCATGTATTATTTGGTACACTGCAAGAATTAAATCAGGCTTCTGAATTGTCCTGAGAGTTGAGATGTTTCCTTCTTACTTGTTTGATCCTATGCAAACTCATTCCACATTTGAATGCAGTGCACTTATCAGATGATTGATTGGCAAGAGAAGAACTGTTATGGGTACGAGGCTCCAATGAAGAAACTGATCAGTGAAGAAATAGCTAAAAGACCAAACACAGGACATAATGCACCTAGTGTGGTGGCACGTCTAATGGGAGTGGATACGTTACCGTTAGATACAAGAAGACCATTACCAAAGCATGTAGAGAAAAAGAATGAAATGAAGGATGGGTACCCTTCGAAAGAGGAATGGTTGAGAAAGGTTTCCATTGATCATGCAACCCAGTCCTCCAGACACAAAATCTCAATTCCCTTTAACCATGATGAATCATGTAAATCTGACCGACAGATTGATAGCCGAAAACCAAACAAATATAAACCTCGAGAACATCCTCAGGAGGAGGAACTACAAAAGTTCAAAAAAGATTTCGAAGCATGGCAAGCAGCAAGGTTCAAGGAATGTTCGAAGTTTGTTGAACATGGCACCAGTCCAAGTCAGTGGCTAGCACAACAAAGCCTGAACAAGGAAAAGTTGACTCTTTATGCAAATTCAATGAGAACCGCAGCTGCTGAGAAACCTACAGAGCTTAGAGGGCATACAGTAGCAGTGAATCCCTGGGAAAGAGGCCTTTTGAAGCATCAGAAAAATATAAATGAATTTCCTGCACCTGCACAAAATAAGACCTACTGTGTTAAAGAAGTTATTCCGAACCCCGATTTTCAGAATCATCCTCTGACAAATTCTTCTTGCGGACCTGATGTTGCTCCTGCTCCTACAAAGATAGTAATTCTGAGGCCTGGTCCTGAAAGGATGGTGACTAACGAAAATTCGTGGGCCAGTTCTCCGGGCGTTTCTGAAGACCGGGGTAGCATTGAAGAATTCCTTGAGGAGGTCAAGGAAAGACTGAACTGTGAATTGCAAGGAACGAGTTCCAAGAGGAGCACTACTGTCAGGGGAGGAGGAATTGAGACCCCTTATAGTGAAAGGTCACCAGATGCGAAGCAAATAGCTCAATCTATTGCAAAACATGCTAGGGAGAGTGTTACTAGGGACTTTGGAACAACATTACCTCGGTCAGAATCCACCAGGTCTTATAGAAGTGATATTCAATCCGATGGGGAGAATTCTCCTGAGTTTGTCAATAGAGATACAAGGAAGTTTTTGACAGAAAGGTTCAGGAATGTCCTCAAGCAAGAAACATCTCATGGTGTACACAGGCTTGCTCGTGGAAGCTCTAGATCTATGGAACTGAATAATGAAACGTGCAGCTCTGAAGAAATGAGGCATACTTCTAATACGGGAGATAAAGCAACCAATCTGGACAATATGAAAGGTGAATTAAACATGCATAACAGATCTTTCAGACGGGATCATGGCAATGACATGCTTGAGCAGGAACTATCTCCTAGGAGCCTAATTAGATCTTTGTCCGCTCCTGTGTCCGCAGCATCATTTGGAAAGCTCCTCCTAGAGGACCGACATATGCTGACAGGGGCCCATATTAGAAGACAGCATGAAGTTATTGAGAAGGCCACAATGAATGTCAAGAAACGGCAAAAAGAGAAATTCAACCTTAGGCGAAAGGTTTCCAGCTTTAGTTATAGTTTCATACTTAAGGGCAGGCTCTTTGGTAGGAAAGTTCATTCTTGGGAAGAACCACACGGACAAACATACAATCTCATGAAAGATTTTCCAAGCCCACCAACCGGAACACCGAATTTTTATGAAAGACATGTAAGGAGCCTAAATTGTCCATTGCATTACTAAATATCTGCATGATATGCTGATTTGTCATTACATTAACTATGGATATTATTTGGTTCTAGGAAAATCCTACTGAAGTTCCACCAAGTCCTGCATCTGTATGCAGCAGCATCAATGAAGAATATTGGAGACAAACAGACTACCTCACCCCATCAACAACTTCTGATGTACCTGCACTGGATGATAGTGAGATTCCCCGTGTTTTCAGAGATATCAGCTCTAATCTGAACGGTATTAGTAAAAGCTTCTATAAGTGTCCTCAAGCATGTGTTGTTCTGTTTTTTGGATTCCTTATAGGCAAGATCATATTCCTGTGAAACAAACTTAAGAAATTCCCACCATGTTGCTTTTTGGCTCATATCATTTCACTGTTAAAATACTGTTCAAACTGAGAAACTTTAACTGTGATCACATAACATTCTTCTGACAGGACTTTTGTCTCACATCATGTGCTTGCAATAAATAACTAGAGATTATATTCATGGACTTGTATCTCATCCCCCTCTCTTATTTAGCACTTCCCTTCATTGCAATATAATTGATTTTAATTACTGTATCTTGAAAATGTGGAACCACATGGAACTCTAAAAGAAGTTGTTATTTTTATTTTTGCATATCAGAGTTAAGGAGGCAATTGAATCAACTAGATACTTATGACTCTGAGGAAACCATGTTCAATGAGCAGCCAGTTGAAGAGGAAATGTTGGAGATTGAAGACCAAGCCGAGGCATACATTAGAGAACTGCTCATTGCTTCTGGTCTATATGATGGTTCGCGTGATAAATATATATCAAGATGGGATCCACTTGGAAAGCCTATCAGCAACCAAGTTTTTGAAGAAGTAGAAGAGTCTTACAAACAACTGACAAAGGATGAAGAAGGGTATACTAACGATCAATTACAGAAAATAAATCACAAGTTATTATGTGACATGCTGAATGAAGCACTTCCAAGTGTACTTGGAGTATCTTCCACAATGTCTAGGTTCATGAAACATGCTGTCGGTCCAATGCCACGACCTCCTCAGGGAAAGAAGTTATTGGAACGTGCATGGGAACTTGTTGGTGTTTATGTTCACCCTCCATGGGATAGAGCATTTCAATCCCTTGACAATATAGTAGCCAGGGACTTGAGTTCCACCCCTTGGTCTGGATTGATCGACGAAGATGTTAATGCTCTAGGTAAAGACATGGAATGCCAGATTATTGGCGATCTTATTCAAGAAATGATCAAGGATATGTTGTCATAACTTTTTTCTTTTTTTTTTTCAACTCTTTATTTTGGTTACTGATATGAAGAAGTTTTGGAACTTCTGAGTGGCCAGGGCATAAAACATGCAAAATGTTTATCTGCCCAAATTAGATTGTGTTTGATTTACAGAAACTGTAATGTGCAGTACTCTTTCTAGTATTGGATACATTTGTTCATAATGTGTGGCTTGATCTGGTGATATTTATTGTACATATACATTATTAGTTCATAAATACTCCCTCCGTCAATCTTTACTTATCCACTATACTATTTTGAGATATCTAACAATATTTTGTCCAGTTTATAAAATCAATGAATAATTTACCATGTTGTGTCTATTTTACCCTTGCTATTAAATACTATTCATTTTTCAATGTTTACAGGGAGTATTAGTTTATTGATTTGATGAATCAGTTTTGTTTGAAATGTCATATTAAACAGCCTTATGGAAATGTGAAATTTCCCTTTGTATGCTGCAGTTAAGCATTCCACAACATGCTCTGGAATATTTAAGTCACCCTTCTAGTTTTCATGTGAATGAGTTGACTAAATAGGTTGGTGTTGACTACACAATGGCTGTAAGTTGTCACTGAGCATTCCTAGTCACACAGAAAAAGAGTTCAAATATAATGGCATGGAAAGACCATACGCTTCATTATAGCTCACATCCAAATATCTGATCAGCAAACGAGACAACATCCATGAAGCTGCGCGAAAAAGGGAATGCCCTAATTTGTCTCTTCTTTTACAAGAAGATTAAGATTAAGACCATTGGGCCAGTCCAAAAAAAATACAAAAGACCAAATGTTAGGTAATGGTACAATCTTAGGAGAGTTGCAAATCATAAGGTGGCATTCCATTCTTAGCCAACAGGTCCAATCAAAAGCCTTTTAACATCACTTAGCAAATATTAAAATTGGACTCAAGCTTGTGATACATGTTAGGTCACACAAGAAATTAACCGCGCAGGAAATGGATTATCTTAAACTTTTAACCTCTGTTTGCTCTATCGACAAACTTCAAGATAAAAAATCAAAACTTATTAAACATAAAATTTTGGTCACGATGCAAATAAGGTCAAAGTCATTCTTATAAATTACCGGATAAATACTTTCGTCTATTTATATATATATATATATATATATTTTAAGAAAATCATTCCTCTATGTATTTTCAACAATACCAATATATTTTGAAAAAAAGAGGACTAGTTTTTCAGAGGAAGTAAACAGCTTTTTTTGTTTGATGGACTTTGTTGTCAAAAAGATGCGGTCCAAATTGGGAACCTTTGAATTTCGTGTTAGTCGTGGAAAGTTGAAACAGTGTTTGTTTGTGTGGTAGCTAGTCATTTTCCAAGCACACTTACCAATTTCTACACTCTTTTTTTCAATCAATTAATCAAGGGGTTGGTTTTAGCCATGTGATGCACCATCATCGTGGAGGCGCAATGGCGTAGTTAAAATTTTTATGAAAGATTTAAATTCGGGCACTATATAAGTTTTAACACACCCTTGTTACTATGCTATAGGTCTTCATTAGTTTTAAGGGTGTTTAAAATATTAATATAAAATAAGATTTGAACTGTATATGGTATATTGGACACCCTGACACTATCGTAGCTCCGCTTGTGCAGGACACATTAATTAGATGACAAATTTCATAGTTAATTTTATATTTTATAGTTATTTAATGAATTTACATTATAGTTTGAGCAAAATGTACTCTCATAAATTCATATGTTATACTCTAGATCCCTTCTAAGTGAAGCCTCAATTCACTACTAAGAAAAAAAACTACTAATGTTTTTTTTAATGCTACTGATTTAATTAGTAAAAAATGCAAATTTTTTTAAAAAAATTTCACCCCTCCCGGGAAACTTCTATTTTTTGCTCATTTATTAGTGAATTGAATCCCAAATTTTAAAATTCGAAGGTCAAATATGTTTACCAGATGAGCAATCCTTTTTGTTATTTAAATTGCATAGAGTAGATTTACTTTTTTTTTTTTTTTATTAAAAAGAAGGATAACATGATTAATGAAAGATTCTATTAGATTGCTGATATTTCCTTTATTGAATTTCAAAGAGGGAATTTGACAAATAGTATCAACAGAAGTTCACATGTTAGATTAGATTTATTGACTTGATTAACTCTTTTGTTTAATTTGCTTGACGGATTTGTCATTATGTTCTAAATACAATTAACATTCATTCAACATTAATTAATGAATAAATTAAAAATGAAAACATAAACGAAGAGAAGGTTGTGCATGTGCGCTTACATGTGTGTATTTGAGTTGCTTAGACTTTTCAAATCACTCGTGGTGTGGTAGGATGAATAAAATTTGTTCATCTTTAATTGAAAGTCTTGAGTTTGAGTAAAATTGAGAAAGGAAACAATTTTAGTAAAGAGTATTTTTTTTTCTTTATTGAATTTTATGCGGCGCCAATCCAAATTAATCATGGTCCTAAAATGGATACTTCAAATTTGTTTTGATATAATAAAACTTTTTTGATTTTCATTTTTGTGGTGAACAAGATAAGAGATTCGAGACTGAGATAGTTAGGAGTTAATTAGGACATGTGAAGATCAAGATGCATAAATGTCTCATTGTAAGGAGGTGTGAGAGATTGACTATGATGTGTACAAAAAGAGATAGAAATAATTAAAAGAAGTATTGAAGCTAAGAGACGTGATTAGACAAGACAGGGCACACGTGGATTTACGAAGACATAACCTTATTAGATAGGAGGGTATGAAGGTAGAAGATTATGATAGAATGTTAATAAGTAGCTGATCATTTTCTAGTTTCGGTATCAATTTGATAAGTATTACTCCATATGTCTCAGTTTATATGACTTGCTTTTATTTTGAGTCAGTCCCAGAATAGATGACACATTTATATATTAAGTGACAATTTAATTTTAAAATGTTCATTCTACCCTTAATGAAATGATTTATAGTCCCATAAATATCTATCATTTATTTTAGATTACAAATTTCACAAGTCTTTTTTTGTTTTTTAAATTTCATTTCAAGTTAAACTAATTCATATATAATAGGACGAATGGAGTATATATTATTGCTACTATTCTATTCTATTTTATTTTCAGCATGCATTAATATATTTTTGAAGGTAATCAATCTATAAAGAAGAAAATGAGAGAATAAAAGGTCCATGTCACAAGGGGTGGGGTATATAAAACAAAAAAGAAGAAAACGTGCCTCATAAATTGGCGGCAAATTGGCCGCGTCTTCCGGGTAGTTGATAGACCTTTTTTATTTTTCATTATTTTGGACAACACAAAAGACAAAAACAAACTACTACTTACAACTTACAAGTATTTAATAAACTAGTGGTATTCACTAATTATGAAAATAATTACATTATTAATTTAATCAAATACTATACTACAAATTACATGTTAGTATATATGATCATCTAAATAATGACAACAACTTACGTAGCTAGTGATATTCCACAAATAAAGTTTGGAAAGGGTAGAACGTACGCAGATTGTACCACAACTTTACTGATGAAGAAAGACTATTTCCAAAAGATCATCAACTCAAGTGCAATAAATTTCAATATAAAGAAAAAGACAATACAAAGAATTGAAATAAGAAACAATGCAAAAGTAGCCAAAACAACACTATAATCATGTGATAATTGAAATACCATAAACAACATACTATACTATGATAATATAACTATAAATGATAGAAATATTATTATTATTATTATTATTTTAAAAAAAGAATTACACCAAGACAACACAACACTACACTACCTACTACCTTTCTACCATAATATATATCATCTACACTCTCCTATTTAGAGTTATGTCTTCGATAACCTGAAATATCCAATCTTCTACTGATCTCTAAACTATTTTAAAAAAAAAAGTTAATCAGAGTAACAAACAAGAAAGCATATACTCCCCCTGTTTAAAAAAGAATGGTCTAGTTTCCTTTTTAATCTGCTAAAAAAAGGACTCTTTACCCTTTTTGGCAACACTTCAACTTCAACTTTCCATGTGACATGCTTAAAGCCACAAGATTAAAGAACATTTTGTTACATTTGACATAACGTTAATTTAGAACTACAAAATTAAAAAGTTTTATTTCTTTTCTTAAATTCTATTTCAAGTCAAACTAGGTAATTGTTTTTTAAACGGAGAGAATATATTAATTTAAGGTAGTGAGTGATGATTGATCAATCTCCATGAACATTAATGAGTAAATAGTTATCAGTAGTCAGAACCGACCGTCCGCCTTTGGCGTGCGCTAATGTTCAAACATTCACTCTGACATTTATAAGTCTTACCCTAATCCACAAGCAAATTCTAAAAATAAAACCATTATTTGTACTACGGATATGACTCAATGTCTCAAAATTCATGTTTTTTTTTTATTGATATTTAAAATCACACTGAATATATTATTATTAATATATCGTTATTCACTCTATAGAGACTGAAAATCATGAACAAATATGTATATAGTGAATTTTGTACCAAAGACAACGAAATAAAATTAACTAAATTTTATTTACACACTTGAACTATAACATTTTTCAATGAACACTTGAGGATAATCTAATGTTCTTATTAAACATCTCTGCCTTAATATTTACGTTCTCAAGCGCCTAGCTATTACATATATATAGCCACATAAAATGTTACTACTTTCTTTAATTATGCATATCAATATCAATAGGGGAAACGAGGTTTTATAACTTATATATATTGAGGCTACTGAATCGTCAATCTGTTTTAATTTGTTTGTCTAATTTAAATTTGATACGAAGTTTAAGAATATTTTTTTTGAATTTTATGGTATTAGACTAAATATATGTAGAAAGTACCAAAATTTCTTTTACTCTTATAGTCTTAAATATGTCGTGCTAAAAATTGAAATTAAAGAGTTGTTAAAAAAAAGATACGGTTTTTTTAAGTGGACTAAAAAAAAGGTAAGGAATACACATAAAAAATATCTAAATAAAAATATTTTATCATATATTTATGTGGTAATAGAAACAAATCATAATTCATTTGCCTGAAACTCTCTTAAATTTAAGTGATAGTCAATTTATTCATCCATTCTATAAATGTTTTCACTTTAAATGCCCCCCCCCCCCTCCCCAA